AGACAAAATCTGTGGGTGTCTGGTGGGGTGGTTGCAGGGAGTGGGGTAGGGGGCTCTTATGTGTTCCCAGGGCACAACACCAACACATTGTTCTAGGTCACTGTCCTGGTTGGGGCATCCCAGGACCTCATTCCCCAGCTGAAGAAGAAGTATGATGTGGACACACTGGACATGGTGTTCCTTGACCACTGGAAGGACCGATATCTGCCAGACACACTCCTCCTGGAGGTGAGCTACACATGCCTTGCTAGAATAGGCTCCTAGGTTGGCTGCTGCTGTAGGTTCTGCTGGGACCACCCAGGTCGGTTGATCTCTGCCTCTGAAGATCCATGTACTCTGGCCAAATCCTGCTGGGGCAGTCCAGGGGACATAGGTGGCCCCTGGGGACAGCCTTGGGTACTGCATCAGTTAGCTTTCCAACACTGTGACAAAATACCTGAGAAAATCAACTTCAAGGAGGAAAGATTTTATTTTGGCTCACAGTTTCAGAGGTGTCAGTCAATGATCACTTGGCTCTGTTGATTCTGGGCCTGTGGTGAGGCACATCTTTGGTGGACAAAAATGCTCACCTCATAGGAAGCACAGTGGGAAAGAAAGAGAAAAGGGGAGAAAGGGCTGGGGAAAGATATTTTGTTCAAAGACACACCCCCAGTTATCTGCTTCCTCCAATTAGGCTCTACCTCCTAAAGTTTCTACCACCTGCCAGTGGTGCCACCAGTTGGGGACCACACCTTCAATACACAAACCTTTGGGGGACATTCCATATTCAAACTATAATAGGCATTGAACTACACCTAGGGTGCTACCTAAGGTCAGGGAAAGCAGACAACCATGGCGGCCCTGAGGCAGGTGGAGATGGGAGGAAAGGGGTTGTTGGGTCAGGGATCAGATAAAGTAATCTGTTGGAAGCATGGGGGTCAGATTGCCTGAATTGGGAAAATAGGGGTCAGAAAGCCCAGGCTGAAAGGGCACTAGGCTGAGGAAATAGGAAGAGCAGTTCTAGGGGCCACAGCCACTTTGCTGATTGGGTATCTGCTGATACTGGCTCCAGGGAAACCAGTGTGTCCTTAAAATTTGTCTCTTGAAGTTTCTATTGTGGGGGCTGGGGTTGTGGCGCAGTGGTAGAGTGCCTCACATTTGCTAGGCAAGCACTCTACTACTGAGCTGTAACCCTAGCCCGACTTTTTTTTTTCTTGACCAGTTTCTTAAAGGACATTGGGCCCCTAGCAACTCCAAAGGTGACCAACATTTCACTCTTCCTTTATGACATGAAGAACTCATGAAATTTTGGTATCACTGATATCATTGGTCTTACTAAAGGTCAGCTTATTAAGGCTGACTCCTGAATCTCTGCTTGACTCTAAAACTCTAGGTGCCCCGTCTTCCTTCTCATCTTGTACATTTCTGCCCTTTCTTGGTGCCTGAGCACAGGTGCCCTCCTTCTGAGTAGTTCTTTGTTCTAGATATTTTCAGCTTACTTTGCTAGGACATTGTTTTTTTTTTTTTTTTTCCCCTAAGAGGAAATACATCTTGATTCAGTGTACTTCCTGTGCAAATTCCAGATCATGGGGTTGTCCCCTGACCTAAGTGACCTTACAGCTATGTTCTCTACTACTGTAGCCTGGGGGCCCCCTTGGCTTTCTTCCACTGCCAACAGGCTGAAAAAGACTGCCCTCCACCACTTCCAGCTGAAAATGCTGGGTGACTGTTGAACATAGGGCAGCACATCCCTGCAGAGGTGCAGAGTGATGTCTGTCATTTTCAAGTGAGAGCCCCCTCCTGCCTGTGATTTGAGATACTCAAGGTCACTTATCTTTGTTGTTGTTTTGGTAATACAAGTGCTCTATCACTGAGCTATATTCCCAGCCCTTTTTGAGATAAGAGTCTTGCCAAGGCTAGCCTTAAACTTGAGATCCTACAGCCTTAGCCTTCCAAGTCATTGGAATTATTGGTGTATATCCATTGTGCAGGCTTTATTGTTGTTTTACAGTACAAGGGATCAAACCCAGGGCCTGGGTAATACTCCAATCTGGGTTGCTTGTTTTTGCTTTTAATGTTTAAAACTGCTTTTTAACTTTTATTTTGTAATTATGTGGGGTGGGGGTGGGAGACAAAAAGCCAACAACCCTCCATGCTTCCAAACTCAACTCCAAGATGTGTCTGGGGGACCTTTTGCACTGCCTCTTTCCCCACCAGGATACACTTCCATTCAGGTTTCTTTTATTATTTATAAATATTTATATATTTATTTTTCTGATGTGTGCACATCTACCTCTCAGCTTAAACATTTTATGGAGTTTTTTTTTCTGACTGCAGACCCTGGGGGGCCACACCTGTTGCAGCATGTTCAATAATGACTCCTTCATCTTGTAGAGAGCTCTGTATCTTCCCATATCCCCAAAATTGGTGGAATAGAGATCTGCAAAAGCATGAACCTTGGGATATCCAGAGAAGTGGGTAGTCTTGTCAGTGGCAAGATCAACTTGCCCCCCAATCCTGTGGGTCACCAGCTCTTGTCTGTAATGACTGTAGCAGCAGCCCAAGCTGCTTAGGGCTCAAGGGCCTGTGTTCCTAGAACTAGTTATCTCAGGAGCATGCTCTGGTTCCAGCATTTCCTCTACTTCCTCATCCAGTAAGCATTTATTGATGGAGATTTATTGCTGTGTGTCACATGTTTTTCTAGGGACTGAGTTGGATATAGGAGTGAATGGAAGGGTGGAGATAGTGATTCAGTGGTAGAGCATCTGCCCAGTATATATAAGGCCCTTGATTTGATCTCCAGTACCATGAACAAAAAAAGAAAAAGAAAGGAGGAGCAAAAAGTCCCAAAGTCCCATCATTTCAGAAAGCTGATGTTCCAGACACAGGACTAGGACCTAACACAACCCTTTCTGACACTGGTTGCTCTGGGGAGAAAATGAGGGAGTGAGAGAGACCTGGTGCCTAGGGCAAGGCATAAGACAGTGCATGAAGCAGCATCTTGGGGAGGAGCACCTGGTTTGGGGTGAATTTTCCTGGCTCCATAGTATAATAGGTTCATTACTCTGTCTGTCTGTCTTCTGTAGGAATGTGGCCTGCTGCGGAAGGGGACAGTACTTTTGGCTGACAATGTCATCATCCCAGGAACACCCGAATATCTGGCATATGTGCGTGAAAGCAGCAACTTTGAGTGCACACATTACAGCTCATATTTGGAATACAGGAAGGTGGTGGATGGCCTTGAGAAAGCCATCTACAAGGGCCCAAGCAGTCCAGTGCAGCCTTGATCGTCTATCCTGCTCTGGGCTCCCCTGCCAAGCCTGGTCCTCCAAAGGGCAAGATAGACTAACTTCTACTAATGCCATTTCTATAATTCTGAGATTGTCCTCAAATCCAAAGCTTACTTTAGGCCTGTAAGGCCTGGGCCTTGCCCATACAGTGACCTCTCTGTGTTGCAGTTCCAGATTGTCACACTCTGGCACGCTCCATAGTATAGGTTCATTGTGTGAAAATACTGCTGACAAAGCTAAATTGAGGGTAGCGGGGATAGCTCAGAGCACTTGCCTAGTGAGGCTCTGGGTTCCATCCTTAGCAACACACACCACAAACACACACACACAGACCAAATTGGGGCAGGTGGTATCTTTGGAGTCACTGACCAGCAAGTGGAATTCCAATAGGGTTTCTACATGGTCCTCAGGCACTGACACCTCTATTAGATCCAGGAAGGGGTGTGGAAGTCAGACATCTACAAACTGCTGTGCCTTCCACTCAGGATGTCCTCAAGGCTTGCTGTCAGTAGGTGGCAGCAAAGTAACTACCAGAATTAACAACTCATATCATACTTTGGACTCCTGAATTTTCACTTTCTTTTTAAGAATGAATCATAACTGCTTTACTAAAATTGGCTAGCTGCAATAATCTTATACTAAAATAATGTTTAAAGGACAAAATAGAAATTAAAAATTAAACGCTGGGCATGGTTGTGCATACCTATAATCCCAGTGGCTTGGGAGGATCATGAGTTCAAAGCCAGTCTCAGCAACAGTGAGGCACTAAGCAACACAGTGAGACCCTGTCTCTAAATGAAATACAAAAGAGGGCAGGGAATGTGGCTTAGTGGTCGAGCACCCCTAAGCTTAATCCCCAGTACCAAAAAAAAAAAAAAGAAAAAAAGAAAAGATTAAGTATTTAGATACAAGATAACTGAGTATAGTTCTTCTCAACTGCCACACTGCTCCCTCTTTCCCAGGACCCTTTGCTAATATCAAACATGCCAATTTCCTCTTGATGGAATGCTAATGCTACAGGTTAGGCTCATGGCTGGCTGGGTCCTGTGTATCACACCCAGCCTAGGATTTCTGGCCATAGCAGTGAAGTGGAAGCCAGCCTTACTTAGTATTACTGAAAAAAAAAAAAAAAAAAAAACAGAACAGAGAAATTGGCCAGCCTTTACCCATCTCTAAGCAGGCACTAGGTAGAGGTGAACGCAGGGCTATGCAAAGTACCTGACTCCCTGGACCCTCATGTGGCACTGTAAATGATTATGTTCCTTCCTATTTCCAGTCAGCTTGGTTTAATGCAAAGGAAGGCAGGCTTAGCCTAGCCAGAGCATTTCTTCTGGCTGCTCAGGTACCAAGTGGTGAAGCAGAGTTGATTTGTGTATGCCTAAATCTAGAGCTGCTCCAGCCCCCACCTTGGCTCTGAGGCCCCAACTCCTCCAAGTGATCAGATTACTGGCCACCCCAGCAGGATCCCAGTTCCTATACTGGACACAAATATAAACGCTGTCCAAGCTGAGCTCACCTGTGCCCATTCCTGGTCTCAGGGCCAGCTAACCACCCATAAGCCAGCCCACTTCTCTGAGCATAGAGAAAAGGAATTAGCAAGTAGCCAGGGTGAATGGATATGGAGAAATGCCCAAAGGGCAGGAGCAGAGTCTGCACTGGTCAGCCTTTACCTACCCAAGGCTGAGGGAGAAGCCCAGTGGCTTGGGAAAAAGAAGCTGAGCCACACAAAACAGAAAGTTCTTTGTTGCTTTTTTAAAATTTTCTTACAAAAAGTTAGATGTTTACCAATACAATCTTATTTTGGTTTTGTTTTTAATGCTTTTTTTCAGTGTTTTTCTTCTGTTTTTAAGTCACAAACAGCAGGCACTGAACAGCATTCCCTTGGGGGCTGCTGCCAGAGGTCAGTCCCGGAGGTTACTTGAGGTTCTGGGCAGATGCAGATATGGCACCCATAGCAGCCCCAGCTAGAGGCAGTTCAGGGAAGAGTTCCACTATATGGGGATCCTACACATCCACAGATCCCAATGAGTGGTAGAGGGGCAAGCATAGCCTGAACTCCATCTCGCTAATCCCCTGCCTGGGTCAGCCCTCTTGGAGCAGCCCCATGCCTGCAGTCTGCCTTCTAAGCAGGGTAGGGCTTCAGCCAGGGGAGGCCTCCACTCTCCATGGTCCCACTTCTTTTCCCAAGCCCCTCCCTCCCTGCCTGGCTGTCTGTCCCCAGGAGTTGCACCTCAGTTCCATATTGCTCCTCTGGGGCACTGGGCACACAGGGTGCTCTCTCCTGTTCTCTCAAAGCAAAACTAGTTACCCTCCCCTGCCACTTCACTGGTCCCCACCCCTGCCCACACACAGCACCATGTCAGTAAATAGCTAACTCTGGCCTAGGGAGTTAGGTCGGGAGAGCAGAGGGAAGAATGGACAGGGTGGGTCAGGAGGGGTGTCCATAAAGGTCCTGGCTCCGGGTGAGAATCTCAGCCGCCAGGGGGCTCCAAGCTCCACGACAGGGTCTGCTCAGGATGGCCCTTCTGGTGATCCCTAAGAACACATGGTTGGGTCCTGGCCCTGAAGAGGGAGATGGAAGGAAGAAAAATGCTGCAACCACTAGCACAAGCAAGTAGCCAGAACCAAATGAATGGGACAGCAACTGCAACCTCTGGACAGAGATCACTGGCCATGTGAATGCAGATGTGGACAAAAGCAACTACTATGGATCAGGAGATAGGGGCCAACCCCCAGGGACTTGACACTAGGACCAATCCTGACTTGTTGGACCTGGTGGAGTCCTATGCTAGAGGAATTTAAGGCTTATGGGGGACCACCCCCTGCTATGGATTAATCTCCTCAGGAACTTGATTTCACAGTGCTATGAGGCTATGGGCCCTGGGAGGATCCCTGCTCAGATCTCAGTCTGGCCTTCCCAAAGATGGGAATTTGGGCCTGCTGTGCTTGCTGGCAGCTTGGGTCTTGCCAGGGAGCAACAGGGAGAGCAGAGCATGCGGCCAACAGAGATTAACAAGAAGCCCTGCCCAGAGGATAGGAAAACAGTTGGACAAACAACCAGACAAGAGAACATACCAGGCATGCAAGCTAGACCCAGGAGTCAACGGGCTGAGGCTTAGTGTCCCCCACGGCGTCCACCAGCCTGACCGAAGGCCTGCTGGGCCCGGGAAGAAGGGCCTTCCTGCAGGGGTCAGGCTGCAGCACACAGATGGGTGGATAGGTGGGTGGGCAGGATGATGGCAGAGGCAGAACAAAGCACATTAGTTGCAGCTGAAGGGCGGGGCTGAGCTGGTCAGTGGGGTCAGGGCCAGGGCAGTGTGAGAATGGGCCTGCCAAGGCAGCATGGAGCAACTCAGCTGGCATGGCTCACATAGGCTTAGCTGGCATGTGGACACATACAAAGGCCTTCACATAAAGCCAGGGACTGGTACAGAGCAGGTGATGGGTGCTGCACTCTCCACTGGACCATGGCATGGACCATACACATGCATGCAGAGAAGGATGCAGAGTCACTTTCTCAGGCTCCGGTCCAGTGCATTGTGTGGCTAGGTGGAGCTCTATCCCCTTTTTCCTCCCTCCCAGCAGGTGGAGCTCTGAACCCAACACCCAAAGGCTGACTGATGTGAAGGGCTGCTTCCCAGGCTTGGTTCCAGCTCCCAGTTGTTCATGGATAAATGTTACCCTAGTCATGCCCCAGGGACCACATCAAACTGAGTGCTACCTAGCTGCTCCTTGGACAAACCCTAGACATACAGCCTCCCTGGTCACCTACCCACAATCACTTACTTTCAATGGTTCCTTCTCTGAGGCCTCCCCTATAGAGTCACTGCCCAGAGTCCTCCGCTCCCTCTGGTCCATGGTGGAATATCCATCTGTGGAGTGGGTTAGGGTTGGTGGGGCATGAGGGGAGCTCTGAGGGGCAGGCACTCTAGGAACAAGTTAGCTCCTCTCAGGCCAAACTCAGGAGACCCCTTGGACAGGGAGCTTTTACAGAAGATCCCCACCTACCAGATCCTTGGAGACCTGTCCTGGTGCCAGCTCTCACCAGTACTGCATTATATTCCCTGGGTATCCCTGAACCAATCTTCTCCAGGGAGCAGGTCCATGGAAGTTCTTCCCAGCACTAACCACACTTACCCCATAAAACCAGCAGGACTGTCTCAGAGCCCTCCCTCCTCCCTGAGGAGGAAACAAGTTCACAGCACCTGCCCTCACCTGGGCCAAGGGCATCCATGGGGATCACATCACGGCTGCCTGGCTTCTCACCATCTGGAAGGCATAAGCAGGTAGCTGGTTACAAGGAAAGGACAAGCAACTGGGGATGGAGAGATGACCAAGGCAGATAAGCCCATCATAGGACTGACCTCAGTGACCTTGGGTGCTCTTGTCACTAATGTCACTGCATTCTTCAGCCCAGCTTCTGCCTGCTGACACCCACCACCCAGCCTGGTGCCAATATAGACAGCATGGGAAGGAAATACCCAGGAGGATGAGAGCAGGGAAAGGGGCCACCCCCAACCTTGTCACGATCAACGCAGGTGGGGAGCCACTCTTGAGCCTTAGGGATGGACTCTTGTGCCATCCACCTCTTCCTCTGGCCTGTACTTACCAAGGCTCTTGTCTACTAGAGGCAGCGTGCTGTCATCGAAGCCTCCGGGACTAGAAGCTGCCTTGGGTGCTTTGGCTGCTGCAGCAGCCGACTTAAAGAGACACAAAACAGGGGGTGAGGTGGGAAGCAGCGCCCTTGGAAACCTGACATGGTATAATGGGAGAGGGAAGGCCAGGGTGGACCACACCTGAAAGCGAGCCTTAGTCCAGCCATCTCTCTGTAGGGCACTACGTAGCTCCTTGTAACTCCAAACAGTCTGAAGCACATGTGATGCTGCTTTTGCCTCCCGAACCGACTGGCTGCAGCAGGATCAGAGGCAGGATCATAAGTCCCTGGGGCCTTCGAGTCTCCCAACCCCACCTCCTGGCCCCACTCCCACCCCCTGGTCCCCACCCCTACCCACCTATTGGCTCCTAGTGCCACCAGCGCGGGCACACCACGGGCCTGCAAGAGTGAGCGTGCATTATCCAGGCTGTCGGACACAATCTCATGGATGGTGTTTAGAACGGCAACCACTGTGTCTTCTTCCAGGCGGGCTCCGGGTTGAGCTGGAGCCTGAGCACTGCGCACGTTCCGCACCAGTTCTGCCATGGCGTAGCTCCCTAAGAGGCAGGGTCTGGTATTAGGACATAGATAACCTCTGCCCAACTGTGTGGGAAGGAGCAGGGTTGAGGCAAGGGGCATTGCCAGGAAGGCCCCCAGGACGCCATAAGGACCCCTAAGAGCAGGGGGCTGAGCTTCGGAGAATGGGCCAGGAAGACAGTGAGTTCCTGTAGCTGGCTGGGACTAGCCCAAGACACAAGGGCAGGGCCTGGATTCCCAAACTACCCACCCCAAACCAGAAGTGAACGGCCTTCATGGTTCTACACCTTGGCCCTGTCAATGTCCTTACCGATGAGGTCTTTGTTGCGACGGTCCAGTGAGAGGTTGCGCAATGCAATGGCTACAGCACGCACCACCTTGTCAGTTTCAGACTGCAGTAGCTCCACCAGCACCGGCAGCCCACGTTCCTTGCGCACTGTGGCACGGATGTATGTGGCCCACTGTGGCGGTGAGGACAGGGAGATGGGTTGCTCAGCGAGGGGTGGTTCCTCACAAAGTCCTGCCCCAATAGCTCAGCACTACCTCTATCACCCAGGGTGTGTACCTTGAACCTCCCAGACCTTGGGGAGTCATACTGTATCTCACCTCCCCCCGAAATACCCTCCAGCTTGGGCAGGGATTGGGGAAATTCCCTTCCTGTCCAGGTCATGCTCTCCCTGCCAAAACTGGCCCCTTACCATCCAGTTGCCGGCACTGAGGTTTTGTAGGGCACCTGCTGCAGCTTCCAGGGTGTTGAAGTTCCGACTCTCCGTGAGGAGGGAGAGGTAGAGGCGTACTACCTCTGGCTGGTACAGTAGCTCAAAGCCTGGGTACAAGGACAACCAGAGCCCATAGTCATCCAGAACCCCCTACCCTTACTCCCAAAGCTGTGGTGAACTGGGGCCAGGGATGAGTGTGGAGGAGTCAGGACATGTTTTCTATCAATGTATTGAACCCTATAGCCACCCAAAGAGGAAAATGTTCCCATTTCACAGAGGGGCAAACAGGCTTACTCAGAAGGTAATAGGTTTGGGTGAGGACATTCCTTCCTCAACCATGCTGCCAAAGAAATGGGACTGGATCTGCCTGGAAGCCTGAGCATAGCAGGGGACTTTTGGGGAAAGGAGGTGACAACCAGGACATACTACTAGCAATAAGCCCCACCAGGCCAGGGCACCTGGCTACCCTCCCTGGAAACAGGACCCCCGACCCAACCCAAATGCAAATGAACCTGTGAATGAGGGGCCTGCCCTAGCAACAGGGCCTGCCCTCCCTGCCAACCACTCTTAAGAGCTCCAGTAATGAAGGTCTCAGATTGTGATCATGGCTGCCCTAAGATGGTGCCCTGCAGAGGGATCCAGAGTCAGAGGTGGAAGCAGCATTCCAAGCCTGCCTTTCCCTACTTTGGGCCTCTGTCTGGCTCTAAGACATTACTTCCCTTTCCCCTATCCTCTCACATTTCATCACTGCTCCCCTGTCCTCAAGTCTCATGTTCCCTCTACTCTAACTGGGCTTACTATTCCCCAAACTCTCCAAGCATTCTCCTCTAAGGCCCTGTTGCTCTGCCTGGTATGGCCCCACATCACACCCACCCACCCAGGGCTGGGTCCTTCTACCCATCTCGGGGGCATCTGGGTTCTTCTAGCTTGCAGGGCAATGTTTTCTTTCATGAGCTAGTTCTGAGTGCAGCAAACAATGCCAATCCATATACATGAATCCGGCGGACAGAGGACATGAAGGGTGAACAACCCTGTCCCTGCATGAGTCCATAAGAGGGGCATTCTTGGGTCCTGGCCCTCTGGTCCATGACCTACTGGCTCCCAGCCCCCATGGAGTATACTGAAAGCCCTACCTTCCCTCTGACTGGCCTGTTTTACCTGCTGAGTGACTGAGCAGAGCCTGGCCTGTATCTTCCCATCTACCCTACCTGAAATTACCTGTGATATTGATCCTGATTCTGAGCCCTTCCGAGGTGCCCAGGGATTGGACCCCTCCATGAAATTCCAAACATATGGGCCCATTTCCCTGTCTGAATGATCCCCTCAGACTCTTCAAGCCTGCTTGATGGCACAAGGCTTCCCCAGCTCATACAGTAGCCCCACCAAGTACCCATGGCCACTTCTGGCTCTGCCTCTTCCCACTTACCTTTTGCAGCCTCAGTTCGCTTGGGCAGGTCCAATGTGTCAAAGTTCCGGTCCATCTCACCATCTTTCTTTCCTGAAACAGAAAAGCAGTGTGAGGGGAGGAAATCTTCATGGGGCACAAGAGTATATCAAGAGGATTAGGCATCGTCCTCTCCTGCCCAGAGATCAAAAACAACCTTAATGTCCAGGCCTGGGCACTGAGAGGCCCTGGGTGTGAAGCACTTTTTTAGTCTGGGTCAGGGAGGTGGGACCTAAGGACATCCCAGCCCTGCCCTGGGGACTAGGCCTCACCTTCCATCAGGTTCTGGGAATGTACCACAGACCTCTTCATGGCTTCCTTGAAGCTTCCAGGTATTTGAAATAAGGGAAACAGGAGCCCATGCTGGGTAGCAGTTAGGTACAAGCATAGAGAAACTGACAGGGACAGTGCTTGCTGAGGTCACACAGAGAGGCAGGGCTGGGGTCAAGTCCCATCTAAGGGGAAAATTCCCTAGTCAGGGGCCAGACATGAACATAGCCTCTACGAACCAGAACCCCCTTACCCAGGCTGGGTTCCTATAGTGGCCCTACCAAATTCTTGTGCAGCCCTGGCTTGCATACCTCCAGGACAACAAACTCAGTGCCTCTAGCCATCTTCCTCTTGGAAAGCAATAAGCCAAGCTCAAATGACCTGAGGTTCCTGCCTTGCCCATCCTCATGGGACAACTAAGCCACATTATAGGGGCACATTCTGCCCCAGTACACACTCTGCCCTCTGAGTAATAGACATACCCCAGGCCTTGCACACTTTCTGCTCTGCCCTGACCCTGCTTAGGTAACTGAGTCTGATGTTACAGAGGGTATTCCCTCTCAGGCTCCCCACAAGTCCATGGCTCACATTCCTGCCTTTGTCAAGTCCATGTAGTTGTCATGGAGATGGCTGCCTTTTCATGGGACTGGGGGTGGGACAGGGCCTTGAAGCTGGAAGGCATCCCAAGAGCCCATTGTACCCACTGCCCTGCAGACGTCATAGAAAACTGTCTTGAGCCATGGGGACACGCATCTCCCTGATGCTACAGCACCTGCCAGGCCTGGACAGCAGGACAAACAGGAACTCACCTTGATGGAACCATTCCTCTGGGCGGCCGGAGGAAGCACAGGAGAGAGGAGATGAGCCTGAGCAGGTGGCACCCTCCCTGTGCCCTCAGATTCCCACTGTGTGCCTTGGGCCAAGTAAGAACCTTGTCCCAATTACTCTTTGGGGCTGAGAACTCACCAGTGGGACAGGCAAGGGAGGACCTGGGATCAGCAGGGCAGGTGAAGGAGGTACACTGTTCTGCAACTGGTAGGGGATGCAGGTTCCTGGAAACTGCAACCCCCAGGTACCTAAGGGGACAGTGTGCAGCAGAGGCCTAGCCCAGCTGGAGTGGGGTATACCTGCAGGGCTTGTCAGGACATGTAGGTGCTCTTTAAATGACCAGGGGGTGTCACCTATAGCACTTTCCAAATTCACAAGCCAACAGAACCCTTTTCTAGAGTTAAGGGACAGAGTTTGGGCAGTAGTAGACAACATGAACACTTTTCTGGGGGGCTCACAACACAGGGTGAAGACCAGGCTTGGGTGTGAACCCTGGCCCGTTAGCTGTGTGACCCACAGCAGTTCCCTACTTCCTCACCTGCCATGGAGGGCTGACCAGATGTCCTCCAGCTTTTGTGGTTGTCTGTCATGGATATGAGAGACTTTAGCCCAGGGAATAGGGTCTAGGGGGAGCATGCCAATCTCACCCACCCACCTTTGGCCTTCTTGCCACCAAAGCAGCTGGCGTCATCCCTCCTCCGGCGCTGGGAGCCTGCAGCACTGCCTGGGGGCCCAGGCTCAGCCTCCTGGTACCTGTCAGCCCCAGGCACCTCCTTGTGCACATGGTAGGACAGGTTTCGCATGATGCATACGCAGTTCTCCACAGACTGTGGGGAAAGGTGACCTGGTGGGGCAGGGCCACGGGGTCTGGGGATTGCTGACCATCCCAGGACCCTGTGTGTGGAACTAGCTTTCAGGAAAGATTGGCCACAGTTAGGCCAAGGAGGGGCTACAAGAGGAAACCCCTATCTTAGGGAGCACTTGCCATCAGTAGGACCACGCCTTCTTCTCAGTGTGGCCGCTACCAGGTGGGTCATGTCTAGATCCACACCCATGCCCCTTTGGGCCACCCCCAGACAGTTCCAGACCCCTGGGTCCCATTCCTGCACCATCCAGTTTTTGATCCTTGGAAGGAGGCTGCAAGACTGTCCCTGCCCTGCCCACCTTGTTGTCTGTGTCCTTTCTGCCCACAGCTGACTGCAGGGCATGCAGGAGGGCATCCACCAGTCCTTCACATTCCCGGAGCCGTCGCCTGGCCTCAGCACCATCTGAGCTCACATTCCTGTATTGCCAGAGAGCAGGCCTGGTGACCCCTTAACCCCCGTAAGAACTTCTCCAGCCCCAACCCTGGCCCAAAGGGCTTGTCTTCATCTGTACAATTGGCCCTGCTGCTGCCACAACAGTCCCACTGGGATAGTATACCAAAACCTGAAGCACAGTGAAGGAGGGGCAGGAAGTCCTGACAACTTCAACTCCAGGAGGTGGGCTGCTTTAGCTCAACATATCTGTTGGGCATAAGGGGGTCTTCCCTGACTCCCAGTTTAATTAGGAAGGGCCAAAGAGGGGCCCAAGGAGGCCTGAATCCATCAGTACATGGTAATTCTGCCCCTGCATCCCAGCAGCAGCACTAGGCTCCACACTGAGAGGCCTGGACCCCATAGGACCATTGGGGCAGGACCTGATGGATGCCTGTGGAGTCTATGGAAGGCCTCCCAGAGATAGGAGGGGAAGAGCAAAGGTCATAAACATGAAGGGACAAGACTCAGAGGTAACTGGACACAAGGATCTTGCTCCTACTCCCTAGCTATCATGGTGATGGGATGATGGGCAGAGCTAGAGTGGTTGGACATTATAGGAAAGGTGGGAGTCCCTGTCTAGAGGTTGCCCTTGGGGGTCTCCCATCAGTCCTACTTCCCATCAATAGGACTCGTGATGTGGCTCTGAAACTCTTAAGATCCAGGTGGTTCACTGTCTTCCATGCTCTCTGGGACTTTGAGAACATGGTTACCCACCAGGACAGGGCTCGGGTGTATGTGCAGTCTCTGGCACCTGTTTCTGCCTCCCTAATTAAATACCCAGCCATCCTGTGGAAACAGCCTGAGCCCAGCCCCTACCCACACCTCAGGCAGCCTGATGTGTTCTTGAAGACAGTCGTCCACTCAGCATCCCGGGGCTTGGAGTCCTCGTTGGGCTCTCGCTCCCAGCCCGAGTGGGGCACGATGACCTCATGGGTCAGCGTCTGCAGGCCATGGTCAATGATGACCATCTTCAGGGGTTCGTAGGATGACAGGTTCCAGAGTGTGCCTGCAGGGCGCCGCCGACCAACCATGCTGACTACTGGGCCCTGCCTCCCCTGGGGACTATGCTCAGGACCTGCCCCCACCCTTGTTCCCCAGTCCACATAGGAATTTTTTGTTCAGTTTGGTTTGGTTTGGTACTGGGAATTGAACCCAGGGACACTTACCACTGAGCTACAACCCTAGTTCTTTGCAGAAGCTAGCCCAGAACTCGAAATCCTGTCTCAGTCTCCCAAGTAGATGGGATTATAGGCATAAGTCAAAGTACCCAGCTTTACACAGTTAAAAGAAAAAAAAAAAACCCTACACTGATTAACTGTGTAAAGTTAATCAGTATAGGTTTTTTTTCTTTTTCTTTTTATGGACTGAGGATTGAACCAGGGCCTTAGTCCATGCTAGGCAAGCACACTAAGACTGAGCTACACTCTAGCTTGCACAAAAAGTTAGAAAATAATAAAAAGCCAGGAGAGGTTCTGGAAGACCATCCTAGCCTAGGCAAGATATGCAGGCAGCACCTAAAGGTGGCTTCCAGCTGGGAGGGAAGAGCTGGGCTTCAGAGGGGCCTGGCAGGTGTCATCTCTTCCTACCTATTCCTGCTATGTAGGTAGGTGGAACAAAGTTCCTGAGGCCACCAGGCCATACACAGAGATGGTCATGTGACCCTGCCTGCTCCTTCAGGTCCTACAAGACACAAACCCTACTACCCTACTATCATGGGGTGGGAACCAGGAAGGTGGGTCCTGGTACCAGCACCCCTGCCTATGGTAATAGAGACTGGGAATTTGTCACAGCATCTGGGCTGGATGCCCACTCCCAGGGCAAACAGTCCCAGCAGCTGGAATTCCTGACCTCCTGGGTGCTCTCCCCCAGGTGGCCTCACCCCTTGCAGGCTGAGCCTTGCTCTCTTTTCTTCCTGGGGGAAGTAGGCATGACCAGGTCCCACTCACCAGTGACCAGCTCACGGACCTCGTTGTCACGGGCTGCTCGCAGCAGGCGCACCAGAGCAGGCACACCGCCACAATCCCGGATTGCAGCCTTGTTGTCGGTGTCACGGCCATAGGAGAGATTGCGCAGTGCTCCACAGGCCCGGCGACGCACTTCGGCCCGAGGGTGGTCTAGCAGTGCCACAAGCAGTGGCAGTCCACGCAGCTGCCGTACACGTCTCTTGACACTCTCATTCTCAAAGCACAGGTGCTGCAGGTAGGCAGCTGCATTGGCCTTCACAGGGTCCACAGGGTGCCGAAGCATGGCCAGCACTTCAGGTAGCTCAGGGTCCCTCCAGCGTGGCTCCTTGCGGGCACTGTCCACTGAGGGTGAGCGACGTACCACCCGGTCCAGGCTGCCCAGACTGCCCCGCTCTGGCTGGGCCAGTGGTGCCGTTGCTGCTGGGTACAGGGGCCGCTCATCGGTCAGTTCACCAGCATCATCTGCTATATCCTCATAGGCCCTGTTCAGGTGAGCAGGGCAAGTGAACATCTTTATAGCCGCTGCCAGCCCTACCCTCTGAGCTACCCATCACAGTATCCAGAAGACTATAAATGCCCAGAGCAGGGCTGGGCTGACAGAATCTATATCTCAGTACTGAGCATGGAGTGGGTCCCAAAAGTCATGCCCAAGAATTGACCATTCCAAAAGTCATGACCAAGCAAGAACTGACTCACAGTCAATGACAGAGCCAAATCCCAGCCAAAGGCCACTGGGGATGGGGAGTTTGCTCACTTCCTATCACCAATCCTGCACTAAATGTGTTTCCATGTAATATTTTTCTGTGATAGTGAGTGGGAAATCTCACCCCATTTTGTAAGATCATCTGGCTAGTACCAGGAAGTAGGGGAAGTAAATGACTTTCCCTTCATGTGGTCATTCTAGTAGAACCATCTGAAGAGCATTCAGGCTACTAGCCCTTCAGAGTATGAGATATCCTTTGCTCTCAGTAGCCCCATGGGCTCTCATCAAACCCACTTCCCAGGGTAGGGACTGAGCTAGGAGGGTCAAGTAACTCACCTAGGGTCACATAAAAAATCCAGACCCAGGCTGTGATTATGTTCCCACTCTGCACATATAAGGCATATAGACAGAACCAGAGGCTGTGACAGGAAGGACTAGGGGCAATGGGTTCTAATTATTCTGGTACCTGGGAGAGACTGAAGCACAGGGATAGTCTGGGACCTTGAGCTCAGAGTAACACCCTGAATCTCTTGCACTTTGGTGTTAACAGCCATCTGTTTGGAACAAAGCAGGAATCTGGCACTGTCACCAGCTTCTCTCCTGTCCAGACTAACATCTACCATCTCAGGGTCTGTCCTTGCTGCTGTCCTTGAGAAGAGACAAGGCTGATCCAAACTAAAGTGTGCATGACTAACTCAGCCCCGGCAGCTTGACTGTGGAGTATTCTATGGCTTGGGTAGAGAAGGTAGAATTTCCAAAGGAGGCAGCCACATGGAATGGGGTGCTCACCTGGCACGAAGGCCCCGCCCACACTCAGCTCTTCTCCGTGTGGCTGTGCCATAATCGGGCTCCAGCTCAGGGCCACCCTCATCATCAGCGGCCAGGCTGCGTGTGTCATCCTCCAAGCCATAGGGCTCTGCCTGGAAGCGCTCAGGCAGGGAACGACCACTTGATGGTCCAGGCTCAGGACCCACAGGGAAGGCCTCCCGGCGGCCAGGCAGTGTGAAGCAGCCATCACCAGGTCCTGGGCCAAGGGGGCCAGTGCGTGGGGGCCGTACCCCTAGACCCCGGGACAGGCTGCCATAGCTAGGGCCATCACGGAGCTCAAGGCCATCAGGAAAGCCATTCCCACTACTGAGGTAGGTTCGGGAGAGTGTGGCTGCTGGACCACCACCACGCAGTAGGAAATGCCGATCCAGAGGGCCATCAGCAAAAGGGCCAAGTGGAGGGCCACCATCCAGCAGGGGGAGTCCATCTGGGCCCAAAGGCACCTGCCGTACTGTCCTCGTGGTCACTGTCTTGACAGTCTTGGTGACCTGGTGGATAGGCCGGTAGTGTGTGAGCTGGGCAGTCCAAGAGGCCTGGACAGTACCCTAGCAGAGCCAGGGTGGCCTCAATTTTCCACCCAAACAGGCGGCCCCTAAGGGGCTGGCTCACATGCCCACATCACAAAGGGAGAGCTATGGGCTTCCTGGCTTGCTTTCTTAACATCTGCACCCAGCCATACCTTGGTTTCAGTGCGCCGGGTTGTACCATCTTCAGATGTGACAATGGATACATGGGAGGTAGGTGTACCAGGGTCCTCCTCCACTGTCACTGTCTCCTCTAGCACCTCAGGTGCCTCCGGCATTGTGGCCAGTGATGCCTGGCTCCCTGGGCTCTGCTCCTGGGGGAAAAGAGGCAGATATCAGGGGGCAGGACCTGCTGCTCATATGTCCCTGGAGTGTAGGTGCCTGGTTCCCCATCCTAGGGCCTCCTTTGGTTCCACTGGCAAATAAATAGCTTAGAGAGGTACAGGCCTCTCTGAGCTTCAATGCCTTGGCTATTGCAGGTTTTCCCAGGCCTAAAGAGGTCTAGATAGGACATGCAGGATGTCCTCCTGACATCATTAGTTACTCCTGGCTGGACCCTCAAAGTTTTGTGCAGCCTCCTCCCTATAGCACTCCAGAAGCCTGGAATGCATAAATGCATAAACATTGGGGGTCACAGTTTTAGTGGCACTGTCTGTCTCCTGTGGCCACTCCTGGTCTCCTGTCAAGTCCAGCCAGATGCTCTCACAGGACAGAAATACCCAGCTCTCAGAATGTACTGTAGTCCAAAGCACCAAAATATCCTTGATCCTTCCAATTTAGACACTCTTAAAGGCATGGTCTGGCCCCACCTCAGGCCTATGTCTGGTGCCCCCAGCTGACAGAGATTCTAGATGTCATATCAGAGATCAGAGATAGTAGATTTGCACTACAGTCACCTTACCATCACCCTGCAGGGGGCACACAACAGTGAAATTCTAGGCAGGACAACTCTAGACTATGCCCTTCTGAGATCCATGTGCTAAATAGCTGGACTTGCCAGTGGGGAAGCTGAAGCTGAAAGAGGACAGGCCAGTTCTGCTCTGCTGAGTGGCAGGGAGACCCAAGCCAATCTGCCTTTGGGCATATGTACCCCAGGGCTCCACCATGCTTATGTCCAGGGATTGGCATCTACCAGGATGGGCAGGGGGACTGAAATCAAAACTGTTGTGGGTGGGCAAATGGGAAGCACATTCCCGGGTAGCCAGGGACAAGTCAGCAGTACATGCCTCACTCTGTGGCCCAGGCCTCACAGAATGTGCTCCCTGTCTGGGCCCCTTAAGGCCTGCACAGATCCTGAGCAGAGGTCCAGGGAGAGTTGCAATTCATACTGCACCTGCCTGGCTCCAGAGCTATACTCTGGCTGCATGTGTCATTTTGGGAGGTACTCAAGGCAAAATACCCAGGGCTGTTTTCAGGGCCTTCCTCCTGAGATCTTTGGCACAGGAATCTGCCTCACATCAGGGCCCTGTCCTAGTGGCCCTAATGCATATGGGCAGAGGTCTGGGTAGGAGCCTGCACCAATATGTTAGGACAGTACATCCCTCAGGATCAAGAGAAAGAGGAGAGCAATAGCACAGAATGCACTCCCCCCTCCCCTAGAAGCAGGTCCTCAAAAGGTAAAGAGATGAGATTATAGATGGGAAAACTGAGGTCTGGCAGAGGGGAGAAAGTTTACTCAGAACCTCACTATTGTTAGCCAAGGGATTTCAGGCACTTATCTGAAGGAATCCTTTGAGTGACACCTTACCTCTTGGGAACAAGGCCTTGATGGCCACCAGCCCAGTCTTAGTGGAAAGTCTGCTGGGACCTGGCCAGAAAGAAGAGACCCTGTTCCCAGGGAAGAGAAACAGATTGAGGTCCAGAGTGGGGACAATTGGTAGTGTGCTGAGAGGGAGGCCTGGGCTTTTACCCCAAGGGCAATGGGGAGCTGGGAAGGTTCTAAAGTAAAAGTAGGCACAGGGCAGCTATCCCTTCTAGCGCCTGGGCTTCCCCATGTGTATCTGGTAACTGCGTGTCAGGCTTCAAACTCTGTGCAGGGCCCTGAGATTAGTCACAGCTCTAGTGTGGGGCCCAAGAAAGAGGGGTGGCCTTCCTGGAGACAAGGTAGAGGGGAGGAGCAAGACTGAGGAGACTGTTGCCAGTCATATATGGCCTCTTAGATTTTTATACATTAAACACAAGTAGAAGAGCTCATATTCCCTAGCTAGGTAGTAGGGAACTGAGCACATACCAATCAGCTCACTCTGCCAAGTACATGCTGTTCATGAGCCCACCAACCCACAGACTCACCAGAAAGATGTTCCAGAGTTTGAGCCACAGAATGGCTTTGGGCATTTCCTTACCATAAGCTTCAGTTTACCTATTTGCTGCCAGCTGAGACCCCAGAATTTGGGAGATGAGGGAAGGACATTGTGGTACCTCATTACCAATCTGTGGCCTATCTTCCTCCTCCCAAGTTGGCTATGGTGAGGGTCTAACAGTGCAGAGTTAGGGTGAAAGAGTTAGGAAAGCAAGGGCCCCCAGCCATCAGTGGTAATTCTGCAGTATCACCACTAACATTGGGGATCAGCAGCAAGGCAGCGGGATCCCAAGGACCCAAGAGTCCCTGCTGGCAAATGACCTCAGGGAGCTAAAAATGGGCAATGACTTCATCCAGGCAGGTGGAAGCATGAGTCAGCTGGCACTCAAGGAAAAGCCCAGCCCTGTTACACATGCCTAGGCACACACAGACAGGGATCTGGAAACATGCACAGACACATGTACCTGATTCCTCAAGCAGGAACATGTGCAGGTCCATAAGTATATGAGCACCCAGCCTAGTTCACAGGTCCGAACATATAAATTTGTGGCACCTCTAAGAGCACTCAAAGTGCACAGTACTACTATTCTCAGAGGCATATGCTAGAATACCTGTATTCTCAGGTCTTCCACTGGTTTATCCAGACCCTTACCCATTTGGGACCTCGAGATATGCTTTCAACATACAAGGACCAAGCCACAGACTCTCCGAGCTGGCAGCAAATAGAGAAACTGAAGCTTATAGCAGAGGGATGTCCAGGTTAACTCCATGGCTCAGGCCTCTCCAACATCTTTATGGTGGATCTATAGGATGGTGAACTAATGACCAGCATACACTTGACAAAGGGGGCTGAATGGGGTGCCTGGTTCCCTGACTGGCTCCAATGTCCTATTCTGGGGTTCTACGATTCACATTTGTCAGCCCAGACTGGCCTGCAGGGAACCCTGTCCTGCAGCCTCACATTACCTTTGTCCTAGACCTGATTCTAGGCTGTTCCCCTCTACAGCCCAGACATTGGCACCATGCTGGACACAACACCCCTCTCCTCCCCTACTCCTTATGTCCTGCCAATCATTTATTGTCACCTCCTCCTTGGTCCTGGTTTATTCCTTTCACCTCATAGAAGGACCATGTTCTGTGGGGCTCACATTCATCCTGGGGCTCTCCCATCTATGGTGCAGTAGGTCTATAGCTTCTGGGCCTGGCTTGGAGAGGGGCTGCAGCCCAGATCTGGGGTTTCCTATGAGTTCCCTTGGGCCTGTAGAAGAGGCCAGAGTGTCTGATGAGGCAGACCCGCCCACTACCTCTCAATAGGATCCCTGCAGACACAACTGAGCACAGCACAAGCGCCTTGGGCCCCAAGAGGCGTCTGCCTCTTTGGGGGTTGTTTTCCTCATACAGAGATTCCGGAAACAGGTTGCCAGTTCAATCTATGCAGCCAGATACAAGAAACATAGGGGGTAGAAAAGCAAGATGTAGATCAATGCTCAAAGGTCTATGAACTTTATAGATACACACTCACAGTCTGTATCATGAAGAACAGACTGCAGAGGTGGGCTGCCCACCCTACGCAAGGTCTGCTGGGTACAGGTTAAGGTGAGAATGTACACTTAGAGACCACAACTCCTGGGCCAAGTCTCCAGAGGGCAAGCAATGGCTACCCCTGGATGGATAAAAAATTGGAAAAATAATAGTTCTGAATCCCTCAGTATGACACTTCCAGGTGGAGTACAGGACAAGTCAGGCTGATATTTCCCACGAGGCATCCAGACCTTGGCCACCACAAAGTACCCTCTCCTTTGGTGTCCATGGCCGCTGAAGGTTGATCTTCCACAGTAGCAATATACCTGCCAGGGTGTGGCCCTAGACAAGTGGGCTGAAAGGCCAAGGGAATCTGGTGTCCAGCAGGCTGGGAGAGCAAGCCAGTCACCTAACCCAGCTTCCCTAAGCCTAGACCTCAGCTACACTGTACCCACGAATTCCCCCCTAATCCCTCCGTTTCTGAATCAGTCAGTAGCCAGACCCCCGGAGCCAGAAATGCGTAACAGGCAGAAATCTGGCTGTGGGAGACACTCCTCCTACCACAAAGGGTCTTATTGGGGTTGCTCCTCTATTCAGCCTATTTCCCCAACTATTACTGAATCCTACTTCTGAGCACAGTACAGGCTGCTCACCTGCCTTCCACTCTATCCAGTACTGGGAGGCGACCAGCCCCGTTTTCCTCTGAGACCCGTCCTGCCTCCACACGTGGGCAGGACCAGCTTCCACCCCTCCTCTCATGAGCATTGCTGAGGCAGAGCTTCCATTAAAGCTCCAGAAGCTCTTTCGTAGGTCCCCAGAGTAGGAGTCTGCGCAGGGGTAGAGAGGGGAGGGAAGGGAAAGGGAGGGTGCCCCAAGGAAACAGGAGGCCTGGTTGGACTTCCCTCTGCAGACTCAGTCAGCCTCCCTCTGCACAGAGAAGGGCTACTCAGGGAGGCCCTGGCCCTCTACCCGGTTACCCCACCACCTATCCTGGTGCTGGCTGAGATACACCCAACCAGGTCAGGTCCTGGCTCCTTCTGAACCCAGGGTCACCTGCCTTGGGATACTGCGCGCTAGTTCTGGAGACTCAGAGGCCCCAACCCATTCTGCACAAACCCAGGGTAGTGTGCTCACTCCTGCCACCCCGCCTGGCCCTGGGTCCCGCGCAGTCCAGCCGGGAGATCAGACAATAGCTGCTTTGGGCCAGCAGCTCAGCGTAACAAAAGCGGGTCCTTCCCCGGGAAGGCCGGCGCCCCGCCCTCCGGTGGGGCTGGCCCCAGGATGGTGCCCTCGGCCCCCGCCCGGAACCGAGTTCCCTCCAACCTGTCTGAGTTCGGCCGGCATCGGGCCGGGGTTCTGGGGGCGCAGGCCTGCAGGGACGGCGGCAGACACACCGGGCTCGGCTCCGGTGCCTCTGCCGCTTGGGCTCAGCGGACTCGCTCCCCGTGGGGGCGGATCTGGCGGCGGTCACAGCGAGCAGCCAATCGGGCGGGGCCGCGCCCAGGCGGGGCGGGGCGGGAGCCAAAGGAGTGGGGCGAGGTTCGGCATTCTACTGTCGGGGGCGGGGCTCTGCAGCCAGGATAGGCCCGGGTGGTCCCCAGGTCCCTGGCAGCTGGTCAGAATTCTCGTCCCTCCCCCAGGGGGTGGCATTTTCCAGCCCAGTGACTTTAGCCAAGTCCTTCCTAGGCTTCGGTTGGACTTCAGCAAATGAACACCCTTCCACCTATACAGACGGAAAAACTGAATTCAAAAGCCAGCATCTTTGGCATAATCCATTTATCCTGGTTATGACTCCGTTTTCCCCTTCTAGGCCAATGAGACAGTAGTTAAGCATTGTTAGCGCTGCAAGTTCTCTCAGATCTAGTCCCAGCCCTCTGCCTAGCCCCTACCCAGGATGGGCTTCCAAGAACGGCCCTCCCACGGAGCTCAATGGGGACCTGGCGAAAGGTCTTTCCACAGGCTTACTTTATGTTTTGAGTTCTTTCCATCAAGAGACCCTGTGTCTTCCCACCCTTTGAGGTGTCAGAGTGGGTCAAATATTGGGGCAGGAGAACAACTCTTGGGTAACCTCGTGTAAAAATCTTAATCCCTTTACCAGGTGTGGTGGCACAAGCCTGTAATTCCAGAATCCCAGCGACTGGCTGAGACAGGAGGATTGCCAGCCTCAGCAACTTAGTGAATTAAATAAAAAATTAAAAAAGGCTGGAGATGTGGCTTAGTGGTTAGGTGCCCCTGGGTCCAATCCCCAGTACCAAAACCAAACCAAACCAAACCAAAATCCAACCCTAAAAAAAACTTAATATCTTGATCTTGAACCCTCAGAAAAAGTCCTGGGGGCTGAGCTGGCTTCAGACCCTCTGTTTCTGATCTACTGGGAAGTGGTGGATGAAGTGAGGGGATCAGAGTTGCCAATTAGGGGTTCTCTATCCCATGGAGCCCCCAAGCAGCCACACCTAAGGAGTCTGACTCTGTTTGGGGGAAACTTAGGTGAAGGGGAGGGAAATTCAGGAGAGGGTCAGTGATGGCGACCTTCTTGGATCATTTCCCACAGAGGCAAGCCAATGGCTCCTGCATCATGAATGACAAACCAGGTTCTGATATTAACAGAGCTGGGGCCAGCCCACAGAGGCTTTGGGGGTACTGCAAGAAAGGGGCATAGGCTTGAGCTTCCTGCCTCATACCACCCCTGGCTTCCACAATATGCCATGTACAGAGGTTATACTTCCAGTAAGCTCAAGCACTTTCAATGTCCACTATGTGCCACTTTGAGCCTCAGTTTCCCTACCTAGACAGGAGTGGGTTGACTTTACCACTGGCCTACTGCATCCTCCATTCATAGCTGCCCAGGCCAGTAAGAAGTATACACTGCTTTAAGGGAATGTGGCCCCGATCCTGAATTAAGGCCGATTTGGTCTTCTCCCCAAATATACCAGTTGCTAGTGCCCCAGCCACAGGCCATCTTGCCTGAGCCCAAGGCAGGTCCAATGGCCCATCTGGCCAGGCCTTCATGGTACCCTTCCCAGCTAGGTGAGGATCAGCCCTGCTCTGGCTGAGTGTCTGAAGGGCAGGCAGCCAAGACATGGAGAATCCCAGGAGACACAGCAGCAGTAACTTCTAGCCTTGGTTCCATAGTCTTGGCCCCCAGCTACCTGTCTTGCCAGCTTTAGAACTCCAGCTCTGTCCCGAGGTTCAATGATAGCTCACCCAGCACCTCCTGCTGGGATTAATCTGAGAAGTAGGTTTGGCATGGAGGCAGTTGGGTCTGGCTAATCCAATGCTTCTCTGTGTCCCCATCAGCCTAATCAGTCCAGCTACAGCCCTGGGAACACATGTTGTCTCTGCTCCCAGCCAAAGGAAAAAGGGCAGGGTGGAGGAGAGGTCATGGCCTAAGGTCATGCAGGCTCAGTCCCCAGGAGGCCAGGGCAATTCCAGACTGTGGGAACATGTTTTTGCCAGAGCATCGACCCTCTGAATGCCCTCTGTCCTCCCACACTACTTATCTGTGAGCTGTAGAACAGAGCCTGTTCCAGGCTGGGAGGGATAGACTGAGTGCCTGGTGTTTGAGGAGCAGCCTTGGGGTCACAGGCTGCCATTGTCCCCATGTGGCTCAGCTAGGCATTCTATTCCCCTGCTAGAGTTTAGGGAACACCCTTTGGAACTCTTGAGGTTTGGAACTCTTTGAGTTCTTGTATTCATACTGATTCCTCTCAGTCCCAGGCTCCTGTGGGTGGTTATGCCACCTGCCCGAGACCACTCAGACCCAGATGCTTAGGAAGAGTTCCCCAGTGAGTTAGGGGCATTCTGAAGACATGTATTTGACTTTGACTGTGTACTTGTACAGGGCCATACATTTTATATGAGTGGATCTCATGAGTGGACAAAAGAACCATCACCTGGCCACTGTCAAGCAAGGCCAAGCTCAGGGAGGGGTCACTTGCCCTAAGTTCCTCAGCCTGACACAGGCAGATTGTCACCAGACTCTATAGGCTCCTTGGGCTTCCTCATTCCACCCTCATGACCCATGGAGGTAAGGGAGATGTTGGGAAGGTCTAGGAAGTCTGACTCCTGTGGAGCCCTATCTGTTCCACTGGCTAGGAAATAGACAGGGCTTCAGACCCTCTGGGGATAGAAGCTGCCTAAAGCCTATTCTGAGGGCAATGGCCAGCAGGGAAACTGAGGTTCCCAGGTCACCCTCTGAGCTGTAGACAGAGCCCGGGACCTCAATCAAGCCTTCTCCTGGGGCTGACCTACCAGTGCATGCAATGAAGAAGAAAATCATGGAAGGGAGGCTCCAGAACAGGCAAAACCCTCAGTGTCACCAAGCTGCCCAAAGAGCTGCCAAGATCAGATCCTATCCACTGAATCCTGAGCGTTCCCTCAGTGGAGTGTGCTAATCTCAGGGTCAAACTGTATCTTGAACATCATTCATATAGTGCCTAGCATACCTAAGTGGCTAGCCAACATCCTTGGGATCTTTTCTTTCCTCTCCAAAAGCTCAACAGGTCTTATAACAAGCCATTGCATACATCAAAGGTTTGCTAGGACTCTTTGATTGATTCCCCAGTTGGCTGTTTTTACCCTCTCCCAGTCAGTGGGCTGTTACCTGCAGGACCAGCTGTTGCCAGGCCATTGGTAGGGGATGCCCACTGCCCACACCACTGCTGCCTACTCCAGGCTGCTGGGCATGCTCCAGCTGCAGGGCAACATGGCGCCGCTCCTGCTCCAGTGCCCGTGTCAGTCGCTCGAAACGGGCCTCCTGCTCCTTCACCGAGGCCAAGATGCTGGCAGCTGAGTGTACATTGTAGTCCTCCATGATAGGGTGCCAGCCAGCTGCAGGCAAAGCAGAGCAAACTAAGAGTGGTGTGGAACAGTGGCCTGATGAGGCCATCACAGGCCTCTTGCCTATCCCACTCACAGATCATACAACTCACTCCCAGACCAGAACATTCAGCTCTCTGGAGGAAAGCTGCATTGACTAAATTCTAAATTAAAAGTCATTAATCCCAGGCCGGCTGGAAGCAGCTGGCTTACTCCCAGTGAGGCCTGGGGCTCTGACCCAGGCTCCTCTGCTTCCTACCAGGTCCAGCAGAATCATGGACTGTGAGTGTCTTAGAGACTGCTGGGATGGGCAGGAAGAGCTGGTGTGATGAGTGTCCACTATTTCCTTGGCCCACAGCATATACCAGCTCATCCCTATTTCATGGGACTACCCCAGCCCCACCTTATAACAGTGGACAAGGCCAAGAAAGGGTCAGGGACTATCTGTAGCCACACAACTAGTGGGCCAGAGCTGGTGCAGCCAATGGACAGGGAGTAAGAAGCCAGTCTACTATCGCAGTTGCCCAGAACACCTAGGCAAGTGACCTCTGCCTCAGCTCCCAGCAACACTGGCCCAAGGACTATTGTCCAGCCTCCATTTGCAGCCATCCCAGCCTAAAATAGGGGCAGTATCTGTTTCACAAGGCTAAGTGAAAATCTAGTAAAAGCCTTGCTGAGGTTCTGGCTAGGGCTACATGAAGTTTAGAGGCTCTGTGCCTGTAAGTGGCCTATGTGTGAGAGGGCATAGGCCCAAACATCTGAGGCCCAATACTTGGGGAGGTCAGGCCCACCCAGCCCCTGGCTCAGCACTGCCCCCATGGGGCCCAGAGCCCCAGGGGAACAAGCAGGGGCAATGGAGAGTTGGCATTTGCAGTGACAAGCCAGCACTTTTCCTTGCTGCTTGTTCTCTGGCTGACCAGTGTGTTTGTTTTTCATGGGCAATGAAAAGCAGACCAAGTATGCAGAGCTCAAACCCAGGCTCAGAGCCGCAGGCAGGGTACAACCATGTGGCCACAGTGCCCAGAGCTTGGTGCGTGGCTTGATGCCCAGTGCTATTTGGAGTCTGCTCCTGGCTGGTCCCACACAGCCCACTAAGGCCAATTCTGCTAGACCCCTTACCCCTGCACCAACATAGAACCTGAACTTAGAAAATAGAGGCCCCTGTGTATGAATGCCACACACAATGACTGACACAAACAGAGGGCCAGGTCTGCTACTCACTGGCCTGGATGGAGCCAGCTGCAAGGACAGAGCTCCTAGAGAGGAAGGGCCAGTGCTAGGCTGGGCCACATCAGTGATGGCTGAGTTGAGGACATAGTGTATTTCAAAGGTGAAATGATACTATGGGGCCTAGTCCCACCATGACACTTGAGAAACCAAGGCCCATTGAGGGCAAGAGACCAGCATAAGTCCCCACACCTGCTCTTCATCTCCCCAGCTCCTGTCACATAAATAAAATGGTCAATGTGACCTTGTGGGGATGCTAGTGTGGGGATAGGAGCTGTTAAATCAGCCATACCCTGAGAATGAATGGCATTACAGCTGGGAAAGGTATTAGCCCCACTGGGAAGAGGGGGTTGGGAGTGAGGCACAATTCTCTGGCCACCAAAAAGCACAGCACAGGCAAAGAAGGAGTACTCTGTCCTGTGCACATCTTCCAGCACCCAGACCCAGTCAAGGCGTAGACACTAGGCCTTATGAAAGTATAAACTGAGACTGGTGGTACAAAGAGTGGTGCTAGATGGGTATGGAGTCTTCCTGCCTGGGAGGAGACAGACAACCCACGTCCTCAGCCATGTCTTGTTTGCTGAGTTGGCCCATCTCAGCTGAGACTTAGAGCCAAGAAGCAGAAGGGACCAGGACACTGCATGTGGGTAGCAATGATCAGGATCCATGGGACAACTGCTGGCCTGTGGGCAGGAGGCAGCTTTCTTCTCTCCTTGTGCCGAGAAAGATTCCTGCTTGACCCCCATAATCAGTTTCACATTTTCCAAACAGGAGGCCACTTTATGACAAATGTGCCTACCCACAGAGTGAATTATAAATGACAGGGACAACACTGGGCACGCCAGGAGTGACCATACATCAGGACAGTGAAAGAACACGAATATCCAGACCAGAAAACATTAGGAACCTTGTAGGCGGGTTGGTAAGGTCAGAGCTGAGATTAAATGTTGCAAAACTTAATTATAAAAGAAAAGTGACTGCCTAGTCCCAGCACAAAAGACACCAGATAAGGGGCTGGGGTTGTGGCTCAAGCGTTAGAGCGCTCGCCTAGCATGCATGAGGCACTGGGTTCGATCCTCAGCACCACATAAAAATAAAATAAAGATATTGTGTCTACCTAAAACTAAAAAATAAATATTAAAAAAAAAGATACTGGCTGAGTGTTTAGTATTAAGCTAAGAGCATTCCCCCATGGTCTCAGAATGCTGCTGGACAGGGAGTTGCATGAGAAGCCTGGGTGGAAAAACAAGTGACTCCAGGACACACAAGTTGGAAGCGGGAGACTGAAGGAAGAGCAAATCACAGATGGGAATGTAGGGGGAAGGACAGACAAATGGGTGAACTGATGGACAGGCAGGTAGGGGATGGAGGGAGATAGATGGGTGAATACAGGGATAGGCAGGTGAATATGGGAAATGGACAAAGCATAAATGGATGGATGGGTAGGTGGGGGAATACAGAGGACGGACAGACTGACAGGTGAATGGAGCAATGGATAGGCAGGTAGGGGAATGATGGTTTGACAAATGGGTGAAAGGATGGATGGGCAAGTAGGATTATGGTGGGTTGTAAATAAATGGATGAGGGGATGGTAGATAACTTGACAAGTAGATGGATTGGCAAATGGATGGATGGATGGGTAGGTGGATAGAAGGAGGGATGGGAGAATAGGAGGCTGGATGGAAGAGGGAATAAATGAGTGAGAGAACAGGTGTGTGCACAAGAGGATGAGGAGATGATTGTATGAGAGGAGGAAGGCTCCATGGAAGGGTGGAGGGAGGATGGATCAGGTGGGTGGATGGATAAAAAGATGGGTAAGAAGACTAGACAGATGGGCTGATTAGAAGCTAGATAGATGGGGGATGAAGGAATAAGTGAATAGATAGCTGATCAAATGGATAGGGCACTGTGGTGGCAGGTGTGTAACAAAAAGCTTGCAACACAACTGGAAGGAGGAAGCCCAGTCTCACATGTTCTGGGTCAAATGTGGTCAATGCTAGTTCTGTTGGGAAAGAGAAGACATCATCAGAGAAACCTCAGGATAGGATCTGAATGTTTCCCCTGAAACCAAAATCCAATATTTTACGTCTTCTTGCTGACCCAGACATTCCTCCTCAGAAGGAGTCCAGCCAAAGCACTGCTCTGGAAAATCAAATTATGGGGCCCCAGTCCAATCTGGGTTGAGGAATTAGAGGAATTTCCTAAGGGTCAGGGCAGCAGGAGAGTAGGCAGCAGCTCTTGCCAGCCACATATCAGAACCCAGGAGGGAACTGGTGACATCAATCCTTCTTCCACTCCCCATTCTATACTCTGGCCATCTCGAGGAGAAGCACATGGTACCAGAAAGTAAAGTAGCAGGAGTTGAACTCAAGCCCAGTGGTATACAAGTCCATACTTTCTGCCTAGGACATTGTTGGAGCTCTGTCCCCCGACCCCACAAGAGACTTATTCCCTAATTTATTGGCCAGGCCTTCTGGGGACCCATCATTATCCCATTGCCCCTATTGGGATCATACGGTGCCCGAAGCTTCAGGGATAATTTCTGGTCAACCCCCAAGGATAGGCACTGTGCCCAATCTGGGAATAAGGCAAAGAAGTACAGACTTGGGTAAAGGGTTCACACCGGGCAGAGTCCACTCTTGCCAGAGGCCAGGACTACAAGGTCTTTGGCAGTCAATGCAGACCATGGGGTGCCTGGCAGTGCTAGGGGAAGGCTGTTCTCAGTCTCTAAGCAATGGCAGAAACTGCTAAGGAAAGATGAACCAGCAGGACTTAGAATAAAACATTTCTATACATTAAAAAAAAAAAAAATCAACAAATAGTATGGTCATTTTTTAGGAAGTGACACCTCTAAGAACAACACATGCAGTAAGCATTTTAGCTGGAATAACAAGCATTGGGTTTACTTTTAGACTGTGACTTCAGCACAGTGGAGGCTGGTGTGGGGCATGTGGGACCCACTGCACTCCTCTTTCTACTTCTGTGCCTTTGTAATTTTCCACAGTAGAAAGCAGAAGAAAGTCAAGTACAGTGGTATAAGTCTTTAGTCCCAGTTACTTGGAAGGCTGAGGAAAGAGAATCGCTTGAGCCCAGGAGTTTGAGGCCAGCTTGGGGCAACATAACAAGATCCTGACACAAAGAGACAAAGAGAGAGAGGGGGGGAGGGGGAGGGAGGGAGGGAGAGGGAGGGATGGGGGGGAGGAGAGAGAAAAGGATAAGGCATACAGAATATCAAAACATAATTGACATGATAGAATCAAGTATTTTTAACATCTGGCAATAAAGTGATATCCTTAATCTGTAGGTGCTCTAATAAATCAATAAGAAAAAAAAACAGCTGAAAGTGAAGAAGACATAAACAACATGGTTGGAGTTAAGATTCACACACATACACAGGAAAGGAATACAATGATCTTTATCTTGAGGCCAGAGTGGTGGCTGGTGGTGGGGAGGGTCCCTTGTACTGGGGCTGCTCCAGGACTCTCACACAGTTCTGCACATGCCTGTGTCCTACAAAGAACATGAACTATGATTATAGTCAGAACCTAAGTAAGAAAGGAGACTGCAGAGCTCAGTAACCACTCCTCTGGAAGAATCCCCCCCACACACACCACTAATGTGTAGGCTGTACTTCAATAATGGAATCTCTGCCAGCTGGTGGATATGGCCATGATGATGGCTGAGCCACCCTGGAGCCTCCCGGACAGGTGGCACTAAATGGCATGCATGTGCCCAGTGACTGCAGTCATGTAAAATGTGCAGAGCAGTCAAGACAGCATGCAAAA